ATTTGTACTCAGTTCTCGCTGACTTCAAGCCCAGTGCTCTATACACTGCTACTAGCTTGAAGACTTACAAAACACTTCACTTTGAAAGGACCCGTTAAGTAAATAACGAAAGAACTGTGCTCTCTACTTTACAGAGCAGCTAACCTGAGAAGGGGAGAAGTGACTTGACCACAGTCATACAGCTAGAAAATATAAGAGCTGAGATTTGAACCACGGTATCCACTTTCTAGGGCTAATATTCTCCCTATTACAAACCACCTCCTGCTCCCCTCCCCCCTGCCCCATCTCAGCCTCCTGGGGAGAAAGGCCAGCAGCTCCAGCCTCTAGCTCCTCTTCACTAGCCAGGGCTCACCCAACGCATTCTGAATTTCCACAGACTTCTCTGGGCTCAGCAGGATCTCGGTACCATCATATGGGGAACGGAATCGCACTCCTTCCTCTGTCACCTCAGACAGGGCCAGCAGAGACACCATTTGGAAGCCACCACTGTCCTGTGGATGACACTTCCTATTGACCTCAGGTCCTCAATAAGGATCTGCCATTCTCCCATTGAAAAAATAAGGTGACAAATTTAGAACCTGGGGGATGATGATCAAAGGCAATCCTCCCCTTTTTTTTTTAACAGGTGGGGAAACTGAACAACAGAAAGACTGTAACTTGTTGAAGGTTATCTAACTAACCCCCAATCCACAACTCTTTTCATCTCACTGTGCTCAGCCCATGGAATAACAGTAGTAACAGCAGTTTGGATTTCTAGAGTGCTTTAAAGTTTACAAAATGCTTTCTCCAAGACAACCCAGGGAGGCAGATAATTCAAAGATAATTTTTCCTGTTTTTATATTCTCAAGTGAGCCTTTAAGAGGCTCCAACAGGGTGTTAGGAGCCCAGCCTCACTCTAAGTTTGGGGCCCTTTCTATTATTAAAACACACTGCTTTTCCTAATGTTCCACCTCCCCACCACCAAGAGTTCCAGACCCACCGTGAGCAAGTTTTGGTTCCAGTTCATAAAGCCATGCAGCCCACCTGCCTTCTGTATGAGCTCAGGACCCTGGAGAAGAAGAGTCAGTCACTATAAATGAGACCAGGAGGGAGGCTCCTATACTCTTCTAGGGAAGGTACCAACAGAAGGGCCAGTGGCAGGGGTGGGTAACCTGCAGCCTTGAGGCCACACGTGGCCTTCTAGGTTCTCGGGTGCAGCCTTTTGAATGAGTCCAAGTTTTATAGAACAAATTCTTTTATTAAGGGGATTTGTTCTGTGAGGTTTGGATTCAGTCAAAGGGCTGTACTTGAGAATCTAGAGGGCCCCACCTCTGGGCCAGCCTGACCTGGGAGTTGCCCCCTCAGCCTACCTCTTACATAAACCTCTCCAGTCCATGCTTCCAGAAATGCACTCCTTTCCCCATCTGAAGACACTGGCCCAAAAGTATGGAAGCCCTTGATCCCCTCACAGGATTTAGAGATGAAAGCGGACTTAGAAATAATACAGTCCAACCCTCCTGGGATTACCACCAGGGAAACTAAGGCTCAAAGCAGGGAAAGGTAGCAAAGACTTCAGATTCAAACCCAGGTACCTTGGCTTTTTAACTCCATTGACAAGAATTTTGTTGTAGTTCAGTCCTGTCCAACCATTTGGGACTTTCTTAGCAGAGATACTAGAGTGGTTTGCCATTTCTTTCTCCAGTTCCTTTTACAGATGAGGAAACTGAGGCAAATAGGGTTAAATTACTTGTTCAGGGTTACGTGGCTGGTAAGTGTTGAAGATCAGATTTGAACAGAGGTCTTTCTGACTCCAGACCCAGCACTATCCACTGCCCCACATAGCTGTTCAGCATTCATCTGGGCAACTTGGCGGCCAAGTAGATGAGTACCTGCCCTGAAGTCAGGGAAACTCATCTTTTTGAGTTCAAATCCAGCTTCAGACACTTACTAGCTGTATGTCCCTATAGGACTGTAGGTCCCTGGGCAAGTCACTTAACCACGTTTGCCTCAGTTTGCTCATCTGTCAAATGAACTAGAGAAGGAAACAGCAAATTACTCCAGCGTCTCTGCCAAGAAAATCCCGGACAAGATCGGGAGAGTCAGACACGATTGAACAACAACGGCAAAACATTCATTACATACATAGTGCCTTAAGATTTGCAAAATGTTTTACAAATATCTTATGTGATGCTCAACAACAACCCTGGGAGGCAGATATTATTGTTATCCACGCTTTACCCTTCCGTAAAGTGGAAACTGTGACATACAGAATTAAAGAGACTTGCCCACGGACCTGCAGTTACTAGCGTCTGCGCCCTTCCTCTCCAAAGGCGCAAGGCACCTCGCTGCCTCTGGCTGACACTTTTCTACACCTCCTCCTTGCGGTCCCCGTGCAGGGGCCGGGCGCACCTCCCCACTTCTGCCCACCAGCCCGCGCCTCTAGGCCACCCCCCCCCCGGGGATCTCCCCCAGCAGCGCACTCACCGGCCTCATGCCCAGGTGGTACGTGTTGCCCAGACAGATGGTGCAGCCCAGACTATCCAGCTGCGCCGCCGTGACTCCCTTCATGGTCCCTTGTGTCCCCACGGGCATAAATACCGGCGTGGCCACGGTGCCGTGCGGCAGGCGCAGCTCGCACGCCCGCGCCTTGCTGCGACCGCACTCGGCCACCACCCGCAGGGCCAGGGCTGCCGGAGCCCGAGTCCCTGCGCCGGCTGCAGAAGCCGCGACGGCTGCCATAGGTTCCGGACTCCTCGTGGACTGGGAGTCCCTGGGCGCCGCCATATTACTACCTGGTCACGTGGCAGGCGTAGCCGGCGTAAGGCGTCTCGGAGACATGGCAACGGGCTTCCAGCGATTCGGAGGTAGGCCCGCTTTTTTTTTTTTGGAGAACTAAAGTCGACAAATTAACACAGCTGATTAGAACATCAGTGTTTGAGTTCTGAAAATCACGTGGCTGTAATTTCTTCTCCGACTCCGCCCTTCCTGCGACTCCTATTCTGGGTCAAATGGGGAAGTTGGCTAGCCGGCTAGTAACGCTCTGTTTTACGTAGCACCGTTGCGTCACCGAGGTGCGCTGTGCTGGGAATTGTAGTTTTCTACAATGACAAGCTACCCCAGGAAGGCCTACTTAGAAAAGGTTGCTGCTTCTGTTTGTCTTTCGTTCTCGAAGAGGACCATGACATTAAGGAGGAGATGCCATGACATGCAAGTGAATTGGATTTAAGTGAGGCAGGGCTGTGCAAAGTCACCAGCCTCACTTTCACCTCCAGAGCCATCTGAGTCCAGTGGCCAGATACAGATCAGGACAACAGGAGATGGCTCAGGATGTAGTGGGAGACCTTGGCTTTTTCAAGCTAAGGTCTTTAACTGGCCTCAGTTTGACTGAGGCAACGCCCATTCAGTGATTAAGGCTTAATAAAATGAGGCAAAGAATGGCCTCTTTAAGAAAAAAAATAGACCTGGGAGAGGAAGACCCTGAGGGTTTCTGGCCAAAACAGAAACAATTGTTATTTACATTTATTCTGACCCAATCAGGGCCCAAACAGTGACCAAGTAGGTTTGGGTTAAGGCTGGCCTTTAAGAGAAAAAACCAAAACAACAAAAAAGTTTCATAGATTAAAATTTACATTGTTTTTGGGCAGAGCTCCAGCAGAAGAGTGTAATACCCTATGTAGACAGAGAAGAGAAGAAAGAAAAGGAGGCAGGAGTGTGAATAATATGATAGAAGCCGTAAGTCGGGAGATCCTTACGTAAAAGGCATCCATAGCTATGTTTCTAGTATGTGGCATTAAGCATGCACAACCTGATTACTAATATTTAACTGAAAGCGAACGATAGATTGTCCAGGGAATTGATGGGTTCCTTTTCACTGCTGCTGTTAGTAGCCAAAGACTATCAGTTGATAAATAATTATTAAGCACCTACTATATGCAGGCAAACCGCTTCTAGGTGCTTACAATCTAAGAGGGAGGGGAGGGACTACACAAAAAAGGAAGATGAAAAGGGTGGGGGGAGTTGTGAAAGGAAAGGTGACCGACTGTGTCACCTGGGGCATGATGAAGAAATCCAAAGGAGAGCAGCTGGGTGGGAATTAAGAGAAGACTGGCGTGGGAACCCTCTATAGAGGTTTTGGTAGGCGCTTTCCACCCATTCAGTGGAGTCCCCGGTGCAGAAGGTTTAGTACCAAGGCTGAATTGGTCTTGCAGGACGATGAGGTTGCTGGAGTCATGTTGTCCAAAGCAGTGCAGCGGGGAATGGAGGGAAATGACCATCTCTCAAAAATCAGGGATCCTTGTTCAGGTATGATTTGAACTATATAGCTTTATCTTTATCTGTTGTAATTTGAAAATTTCTGGATCTTAATTATTAATTAAGCAACATTGGCAGGAAATCTTGATTCTCGCCAGCAGGGGACGCTCATTTTCTCAAGAAACTTCTAAATCAAGAAGTGATCGTTGTTTCGAGGAGCCTAAGCGTTAACAAATAAGAGCAAAGGCTAAGTTGATCGACAGATGCATTTCTCAATCACAGCCAATATTTTGCCGGGAAGCATCGCCCCATTTGTTCTAGTTAACTGATGAGTGACAGCTTTTTTGGTCAATGGAATAACTTAAGGAATCGGGCTACTGTGACGTATTAACTCTTATTTGCCAATCACATTTGATTTGGTGGGTGGAGTGCACTAACATCACTGGTTTGCTAATCTGACAGGCAGGTAGTCTCATCAATGAGAATGCGAAGATGTCTTAAAATGGGCGGAACTAGCATACGATTTCCCGAAACACCGCCCCCGGCATTGACAACCGGGTTCCTCAACCTATTGGGTCTGGGGAATGGTGACAGTTTCTTTATCCAATGAATTCTCGAGGAAGGAAAAGGGGGTTAGGACATTTTCGTCCATAAGCATCATCAGTAAGCCCGTACCTCTACTCCATTGGCTTTTGACGGAGAGTGACAGGGCTGGCGGCCAGTAGGTAGTGGCCTGAAGGGTTTGGGGCGAAGCATCGGCTGGGAGGGCCGCCCCGGTTGCGTATGGGGCGGGAGGTCGCTCGGGTCGGGTGTCGCCTGAGAACCGGATGAGGCGGCGACTGTGAGACGAAGTTTGGAGTCGGGAGTTGGGCTGAGTCCCGGGGGAGCAACCGCCGGCGCGCGGGGCAGGGTCGTTGGGAGGCTGGGGAGGTCTCTCGAGCCACGAGGGGGGAGTCGCCGCCGCCGCCACCATGGGGAACCGGGGGATGGAGGAGCTGATCCCGCTGGTCAACAAGCTGCAGGACGCGTTCAGTTCCATCGGGCAGAGCTGCCACCTGGACCTGCCGCAGATCGCCGTGGTGGGCGGCCAGAGCGCCGGCAAGAGCTCCGTGCTCGAGAACTTCGTCGGCCGGTGAGTGTTGAGCAGGCTGCGCCGGCGGCGGAAGATGGGCGCTCCCCCTCCCCGCGGGCCCTGCTCGCTCCGCCCGGGCGCAAGCGGCTTGAGGAATGGGCCCTGGACGCGCCTGGCTGCGCCGCTTGCGTAAGCCTCGGGCAGAGCCGCGGGTGGAGGAGCGCCGCTGGCGGGCGCGCGTGGACGGCGTAAAGGGAGCCGGGATGGGCCCCGTCCTAGGCCTCCCTCACGCGGAGGGGGGGGTCAACTGGGGGTCACTCGGACCCCACGCGGTCTTCGTTCCCTGAACCTGGGGAGATCCGCAGCGGCGAGCGTCGCCTTCCCCCCTCCTCACCCGGGGAGGACCCTGTGTACCAGTCTGGGTGTCCGGCCGGCAGGTGCCCGGCAGGGATCTGAGAGTCCGCCCTGCCCCAGGCTGCTTGGTGCCAACTTGGACTGGAGAAGGAGCGGGTCTCCATAGATGTACAGCTGGAGGGCATCTAGATCAATCCTTTCACTTTACAAATGAGGAAACCGAGGCCCAGGCGGTTAAGTGACGTGCCAAGGTCACTGTTAGCTCCCCTGGCATTATCAGGGTGTGTTTGTGCTGGGTTGGGGGGTCGCCCGGCCCGGTGAAGCCCCTGGAGGAAGAAAACGTCAGCCAGGTGCCTTTGTTGCCATTAACCCATTAGGTTTGGCCGGTACTCTAGTTTGTTTTTTTCTCTGTAGACTGCCGGGCTTGATTAGAGTTAACTGCAGCTCTGGTTATCTTGGCTGTGGGCATTTGAGCTGTCGAGGGAAGGATATTGCTGAGGTACTGGTTCCAGGGATTCATAATGGGGCGTTGGGTTGTCTCTTAAAGCACATGCTTTATAGACGTGACAACTCCAAGTTTAGAACCATCTCAACCCCTCAGCGGCCCAGAGATGGTGAAGAGCACAGGTTCTTGCCTTCTTTGTAGGAACACTTAGGAGATGATAAACGTAGTGGGTCGGGGCCTAGTTTCCAAGTAGACTGTCAATATCGTTGAGCCTAGGTAGAGTGCTGCTCCCCTCCCCCCAGTCGCTCCTTTCCCATGTCAAAGAGAAGGTGGAGCACATATGTCTTCTTTACTTAGAAAAGGACTCTTGAGTCATGTTTAACTTCCCTATTCTGGGGGGTCAGCCTGACTTTAGTCATGTGTGTCCTCTCCTCCATCTGTACTTAGCGAGGCATAGGCTCTCAGTGTGGCCAATATCTTCCCGGAGACCCATTATCTATCTACATGTCTAAGTTTACAGAGAAAGCATCTGTGCCAGCAATCTAGAAACCCAAGTTAGATAGTTGATATTGTACGTTTAGATCTTTGCAGAACACTTTCAGACAGTCCCTGCTAAAAGTAATTTTTCTACTCAAAGTGTTAGGGCTTTTTGTTTGCTTGTTTTTGTGATTATAAGCCTTTTCTGGCCTACAGTTTCACATTTGGTAAAATCTTGGGAGTCCTTTGTATTAGTAAGAACAGTAGTTGCTTTATCCACTATTTCATTTGATACTCATAGCAGCCTGTGAGATAGATACACACACACACACACACACACACACACACACACACACACCCCCACACTGTTGTTCAATAGTGTCCCATTCTTCCATGATCATATCATACCAGTGCTGTACATGGAGTTTTCTTGGCAAAGATTCTGGAATGGTTTGTCATTTCCTTCTCCAGTGGATTAAGGCAAACAGAGGTGTGACTTGCCCAGGGTCACTCAATGCTGGATTTGAACTCAAGTCTTCCTGACTACAGACCCATCATTCTATTCACTGAACCACCTCGATGCTTCTGAAGTATATAGTACAGACACTATATTAATTCATTTTAAAGATGAGGAAATAGGCCCGAAAGGTTAAGTGACCAAGCCACTAACTGATAGCTAATAAGCAAAGTAGGATCTGAACCCCACTGTTTCCAGTCTCAAATCCAGGGCATTTTTCATTATACTGTGCTGTTTCTTGGCCATTAAAATCATTCATTTAGCTGTACTGCCTTTTCTTTCTTCCCTAGAAAGCTAAACAATAAAACTGACTCAGGTTTGAAAACAGTTGAAATTTTAAAACTCCACAAGTAGCCTGCACTGCAGACAGATAATATTGAGGACTTTTAAAGAATTAACCAAGCCAGTCAGTCTTATAAAAATCCTGTCCAGTCAAGCGCAGTTACATGCAGGTGGTGATTTTTCTTCTGGAATTTCTTTTGGCCCTGCCATAGAGACTTTATCCCTTTTAACTGGTGGTGTGTTTTTGAGGCAGTGACAGGAGGGTGACTATGAATGTACTGACTTGGGTGGTTTTCAAATTCCTGCCCTAGATGGGAGGGGCAGTATGTAGTGCTGATAAAAGAGGTTCTTTCCTCTCCTTCCAAACCCAGTCTGTGTTCACTTCCTGTCACTCAACCCCACCTCCCTTGGGGGCTCTTTGCCTTAGCTGGGATGAATGCATGAATTACACCATGGTTCTCACTTTATTTCTTCATTATTAAAGCAAAATGGCTAAGCTTTCCATTTTGGTCATCTTCACATTCAGTCCCGTAAACACTACCTCATCAGTATCATCTGTTTCCAAAGTCATCATCCAGATACAAGCTTTCATTCAGTTGTTGAGTTATTTCAGTAGACTCTTCATGATCCCATTTGGAGTTTTCTTAGCAAAGGTGCTGGAATGGTTTGCCATTTCCTTCTCCAATGTATTTTAGATGAGGAAACTGAGGCAAACAGGGTTTAAGTGACTTGCCCAGGGTCACACAGCTAGGTAAATGTCTGAGACCAGATCTGAACTAAAGAAGATGAGTCTTCCTGACTTCAGGCCCAACACTCTATATCTGCTGTGTCACCTATATTTACCTGCCTAGTTATAACTTTTATTATAGCCTCTCAGTAGGTCTTCACACCTATTCTGTCTTTTCCAGTCAGTTATTCACATGCTATGTCAAACTTCTTTTCATTAGGCATACATCATAACCCAATAGCCTCCCTTTGGTCTACTGGGTAGAGTTCACATTCCTTAGCCAGACATTCAAGGTCTTCAGTATCTGCTGTTGACCTTTTCAACCTTAGCTCATACTTCTTACTCTCCTTGTAATCTATCATAGAAACTAATCTGGAAGGAACCTTGGAGATTATCTAGTCTAGCTCCCTGGAATAGGTTAGGAGATAGAAGCCCTAGCCAGGGTCACACAGGATTGGGGAATTGAACTCGGGTCCCCCAACTTCAGTGCCCTTTCCCTAGTACAACCAAATCAGACCCGGTCTCATTGCTTTTCCAACTTCTGTGCCTCAGTATTTTTATTTGATTTATCCCCAGATGGGGATGAAAGTTCATCTGTTCAAAGTACTTGAGTGAGTCTGTGAGACACTGAGTATGGAGGCCTAGGCTTCCTCTTAACTTTGTTGCTAACATGCTAGGTTACTTTAAGCAAGTTACTAAACCTGTTATCCCATTACAACATCTGAGATCTCTTTTAGACCTAACAAAACTTTGTGGGTATCAGTTCCCCCTCCACAGACACACAAACCCTACTTGAAGGCAAAGGCTCATGCTCTAAATTGGTAACTAGCACAGTAGAAGGATACCATTTGTCGAACCATTTGATCAATTGAAATTGAATTGATTTTGAGACCATGGATTCTCCCAAGTGCAGCTGGCTTTATTAAATAATTTTTCTTTCAATGAAAAGCATCTGCTCAATTGACCTCTTCTAGACCAACTGTTCCTCTCACTTTTTTCTTTAGTCGAGGCAATTAGGATTAGTATGTGTCAAGTGTCTGAGGCTGAATTTGAACTCGGGTCCTTCTGACTTTGAGGCCCAAGCTCTATCCACTTCACCACCTAGCTGCCCCTCACATCTCTTTTCTGGATATTTGTGTATGGTTGTGTCAGGGTTCCACATAATCTTGCAGATTGCCAACTCATCAAGCATTTAGTAAACACCTGCTATGTGGTAGTTCTGTGGATGCAAAGCAACAAAATACAGTCCCTGTTCCTTTGAAGCTTGCATTGTCTGAGGGAAGACTGTGACACATGGGCCGGTAACTACAGATGTCAGGTGATTTGGGGGTATCAGAAAATGCTTCAAACTTCACGTAGAAATTTGGTGCTTAGCCTGAATTTTAAAGGAAAAGAGGGATTCACAGAGGCATAGAGAAGAAGGGACTGCATTACTAGGAAATAAAGTAGAATAATAAATAAATAAAGTACAAGGAATTATAAGACAGCCTGACTGGACCATAACTTCAGTGAAAGGGAGGAGTGTGTAATAAAAGGGAGACTAGGGCCAAATTGTGAGTACTTTCAATGTCAAACAGAAGAGTTTCTGCTGGATCCAGTATAAGTAGGGGAGCGTCATGGTCAGACCTATACTTTTAAGAAAATCCCACTAGCTGCTGTGTGTTCCTTGTGTATGCTAATACCCTTAGGGTACGTAGGATGTATACAGCTGTCTTGCTCACTTTTGCTTTGGCCCTTTAACACTGTGGTTGTAATTTCTTAAAAATTAGCTGGAAATGGAGTTGACATTTTGCTCTTTAGTTAAAAATTGAAGTTTATCTTATGTTTCTACTAGCCTGGCATGAGAACGTGTACATAAAGTTGTTGGGGTGTTTTTTTTTCCAGTAATGAAGTGCTAGTTAAAAAAACATAAGATTAATTTAAGATCACAGTTTTAGAGCTAATTTGAGTACCTATGATTATTCATTAAAATAAATGCCTCTACCTTCATGTCAGCACACCCTCCACAACTTTGTGAAGATTTGACTCTTGTCTGAGTGTCAGATTTTTCATGCCAAGGTAGTATTTTATGAATGGTTGGTCAGAAGGGACTTTTTGAGGTGACCTGAAGTCTTCTGGCTATTTTGCTATTACTTTATCCCCACTGTTTATGACTTCAAGTGAGGGGAATGATTATGAAGTCCCCAGATTGACTTGGGGACCCAGCAGATAAAGACTCCTGCTTCTGATACAGTAATACTGGCCTTCCTAAGGTTAGA